GAGTCAATGTGCTTTGGAATTATTATTATTATTATTATTATTATTATTATTATTATTATTATTACACTACAACTCCTGAGTCAGTTTCCCTTGGAGTTATTATTCTTATTCTTATTCCTGAGCCAATGTGCCCTGGAATTATTATTATTATCCTATCCCTCCTCCTGAGTCAATGTGCTTTGGAATTATTATTATTATTATTATTATTATTATTATTATTATCCTACAACTCCTGAGTCTGTTTCCCTTGGAGTTATTATTCTTATTCTTATTCCTGAGTCAATGTGCCCTGGAATTATTATTATTATCCTATCCCTCCTCCTGAGCCAATGTGCTTTGGAATTATTATTATTATTATTATTATTATTATTATTAGTATTATTATTATTATCCTACAACTCCTGAGTCTGTTTCCCTTGGAGTTCTTCTTCTTCTTCCTATTATTATTATTATTATTATTATTATTATTATTATTATTCCTGAGCCAATGTGCCCTGGAATTATTATTATTATCCTACCCCTCCTCCTGAGTCAATGTGCTTTGGAATTATTATTATTATTATTATTATTATTACACTACAACTCCTGAGTCAGTTTCCCTTGGAGTTATTATTCTTATTCTTATTCCTGAGCCAATGTGCCCTGGAATTATTATTATTATCTTATCCCTCCTCCTGAGTCAATGTGCTTTGGAATTATTATTATTATTATTATTATTATTATTATTATTATTATCCTACAACTCCTGAGTCTGTTTCCCTTGGAGGTATTATTCTTATTATTCTTATTATTATTCCTGAGTCAATGTGCCCTGGAATTATTATTATTATCTTACCCCTCCTCCTGAGTCAATGTGCTTTGGAATTATTATTATTATTATTATTATTATTATTATTATTATTATTAGTATTATTCCTAAGTCAATGTGTCTTGGATTGGGTTGTTGTAGGTTTTTTTCGGGCTATATGGCCATGTTCTAGAGGCATTCCCTCCTGATGTTTCTCCTGCATCTATGGCAAGCATCCTCAGAGGTAGTGAGGTCTGTTGAAACAAGGAAAAGGGGTTTATATATCTGTGGAATGACCAGGGTGGGACAAAGGACTCTTGTCTGTTGGAGCTAGGCGTGAATGTTTCAACTGGCCACCTTGATTAGCATATAATGGCCTGACAGTGCCTGGAGCAAACTTTTGTTGAGAGGTGATTAGATGTCCTTCTTTGCTTCCTCTCTGTTGTTGTGCTGTTGTAATTTTAAGATTTTGTTCATTTTCATGGTTTCCTCCTTTCTGTGTCTTGGATTTATAATAATTATGATTATTACTCCTTCTCCTCCTGAGTCAATGTGCCTTGGATTTGTTGTTGTTGTTGTTGTTTTTGTTTTTGTTGTTATTACTCTTGCATTGACTTGTATAGGTTGGAGCTGTACTTTGCAGGCCATGAAGCTTTTATGTTACGGCTTTAATCTTGCATATATCGGGGGCACGGTTCTGTCGTGGCTCCGGTCCTTCCTGGAGGGCCGTTCCCAGATGGTGAAGCTGGGGGACACCTGCTCGGACCCCTGGCCTTTGACCTGTGGGGTCCCACAAGGCTCTATTCTGTCTCCCATGCACTTTAACATCTACATGAAACCGCTGAGAGAGGTCATCCGGAGTTTTGGAGTTGGGTGCCACCTCTACGCAGATGACGCGCAACTCTACTACTTGTTTCCACCCAATTCCAAGGAGGCCCCTCAAGTGCTGGACGAGTGCCTGGCCACTGTGTCTATCTGGATGAGGAGGAACAAGCTGAAGATCAATCCCGACAAGACAGAGGTCCTCCTGGTCAATCGTAAGCCAGATCGGGGCAGAGGGTGGCAACCTGTGCTGGACGGGCTTACAGTCCCCCTGAAGCCACAGGTCCGCAGTTTGGGAGTCCTCTTGGACTCATCTCTTACGCTTGAGGCTCAGGCGTCGGCGGTGGCCGGGAGGGCTTTCGAACAACTGAGACTTGTGCACCAGCTGCGACCATACCTCGCGAAGGCTGATCTGGCCGGGATGGTCCATGCCTTGGTTACCTCCAGATTGGACTACTGCAATGTGCTCTACGTGGGGCTGCCCTTGAAAACGGCTCGGAAATTCCAATTGGTCCAACGGGCAGCAGCCAGGATGTTAACTGGGGCCCCTCACAGGGAGAGGTCAACCCTCCTGTTCAAGGAGCTCCGCTGGCTGCCGTTTATCTGCCGAGCCCAATTTAAGGTGCAGGTGCTTACCTACAAAGCCCTGAACGGTTTGGGACCACCCTACCTAGGTGACTGCATCTCCGTCTACGAACCCACGCGATCCCTCCATTCATCTGGAGAGGCCCTGCTCATGATTCCACCTGAGTCGCAAGCGCGCTTGGTGGGGACTTGAGACAGGGCCTTTTCTGTGGTGGCCCCCCGACTCTGGAACGCCCTCCCAAAAGACCTTAGACAGGCCCCTTCGCTGGCAGTCTTAAGAAAGAACTTGAAGACCTGGCTCTTCCGATGTGCCTTTTCAGTTTAGGAACCCCCAATACCAAGTCCTAGAAGCACTTTATTAGAACTAAGATCACTGCACGCCACACACCGCACACTGCACTTACTTGATAATCCTACATACCTCCTGCCACATCAGCACTTTTAATCTTGTACCCATTTTCTGGCCTGGCCCAGTTTTATATTCTCTTGATGTTTTGATGTATTGTTATTGCTGTTGTTTATTTCTGCTTAACTGTTTTAATTTGCGCTAGGTATTGTACTGTTGTATTGTGTTTCGAGGCCATGGCCTATGTAAGCCACATCGAGTCCTTCGGGAGATGCTAGCGGGGTACAAATAAAGTTATAATAATAGTATAATAATAATATATAAATATATTGCAAACGCAGCCGTTGCCGCCACAAGTTCCGCCGCGAGACGATGGAGGAGCTCTCTTACATGCACGTGCGCTCCCCCCACAGCTGCACGCATGCGCTGTAATGGCTTCTCCTTTTATTAAGGATTTCTAAGTTGTTTTCAGTTTTATTTTATTTTTTATTATTGGTGGTCACACCTTGTATGGTGAGGAGTTTGGTTGCCAAATTTGGTGGATATTGGCCCAGCAGTTCTTTTGTTTTTAAGCCACTCATGACGACATGAGCATCTATATATATAAAAAGAGAAAGGGCGTCCAACGGGACAGCAAAACTCAAAAAAACCCTGACGAAAAGTTACCAAATTTCCCATGCACATACCTCAACCCACAAGGTATGCACAAATCTATTCAAAATACTAAAAACATTAAAACACACTCACAATTAGACAAAACAACTGAGCATGCACAAAGGCGCCCCGCCGCAAGTCCCCGGTGCGCGCACATGGCCAGCCGGCCAACGCACCCTCCGCGCAAGCCCCGCCCCATCCTCCGTTGCCCAGCCCCTACCCTCCCATAGGCCCTCTTTCCAACGCACCCTCCTTCTCCTTCCCCCGCCCACCCCCCCCCATGTTCATGCCACGCCCCCTCCCTCCCCCACCCTGCCCCACCCGATCTCAGGCACCACCCCCCTCCCCCCCCCACCCACACGATCACGCCACACCCCGCCCCCTCCCTCCCCCTGCCCCGCCCCACACGATCATGTCACACCCCCTCCATGCCCCCCACACGATCATGCCACGCCCCCTCCCTCCCCCGCCCCACCCCACACTACTCATGCCCACCCCTTCTTCCCCCGCCCACGCCCCCCACGTTCACGCCACGCCCCCTCCCTCCCCCGCCCCGCCCCACACGATCACACCACGCCCTCCCTCCCGCCCCCCACGTTCACGCCACGCCCCCTCCCTCCCCCGCCCCGCCCCACACGATCACACCACGCCCCCTCCCTCCCCCGCCCTGCCCCACATGATCACACCACGCCCCCTCCCTCCCCCGCCCCGCCCCACACGATCACACCACGCCCCCTCCCCTCCCCACCGCCGCACACACACACGCAACACCACGCCCCCTCCCTCCCCTGCCCCGCCCCACACAGTCACCCCCCCCCCCCCCTCCCTCCCCCGCCCCGCCCCACACGATCACACCACGCCCCCTCCCTCCCCCCCCCCCCCCACATGATCACACCACGCCCCCTCCCTCCCCCCGCCCCGCCCACACGATCATGCCACACCCCCTCCCCCACACGCAACACCACGCCCCCTCCCTCCCCCGCCCCGCCCCACACGTTCACGCCACACCACGCCCCCTCCCCCCCCCCCCCCACATGCATGGAAGAGAGGAGGAAGAGAAGGAGGGAGAGAAAGAGGGAAGGAGAGAAGGAAGGAAAGAAAAGGGTAGAGAAGGAAGGAAGGAGAGAAGGAGGGAAAGAAGGAGGGAAGGAGATAAAGAAGGAAAGAAAGAAGAGTAGAGAAGGAAGGAAGGAGAGGAGGGAGAGAATGAAATAAAAAAGTGAAAGAGGGGAGGAAGGAGAGAAGGAACGAAAGAGAGAAAGAGGGAGGGAAGGAAGGAAAGAGACAAGGAAGGGTGGAACCAAAGAGCAAAAGAGGTGAGAAAAGAAACATGTAGAGAAGGAAGAAAGAAGAAGGGAAAGAAAAAGAGGGAAGGAATGAAAGAGGGAGGGAACGTTGGCCACAGCAACGTGTGGCGAGTACAGCTAGTTTTTATATATATAGATTGCAAACGGGAGCCTTCCCTGCCAAAGAGAGCCTACTGCATCTCTCAGGGTTGCATTGCATTCAGCTGCGGCAGTTAAAGCGGTACCAAACTGCATTAATTCTGCCATACAGACGGAGAATGCTGCAGAGAGCATAGGCTGACCTTTGCTCCTCTTTGCAAAGCCCTTCTTTGGCCAAATGGAAGGGAGCTTCCTTTCTCTTGTTCTCCTTGCAAAAGGTGGTTCCTCTCCGGACGTCCCTTTTGGATGAACTCCGTCTCAAGTGACCATTCGGACACCAAAACATTCCGTTTGGGGTCCGAAAGAGGGGTTTGGGGCAGATTGCAATAAATAATACATTTGTGTGTGTGTTGAGGCTCAGCGTCCTGGCAGTGAAGCTACTACCAGTTGTAGGAGGAGAAGGAGTGATGCTGAGTTAGAGGAGGAACAGCGTCAGCTGAAACGCATTCGGGAGATTATTTTGGCACCTAGTGACTCTGAGAACTTTGCAGGATTTGGACCCGAAGACTTCGAGGAATTAGATTACAGAGGAGTAAAGCGCGTTGCCAGTGAGTCTGACAGTGATGAGGAAGTAATGAACAAACGGCTTAAAGATATAGCCAACAATTGCAGTTTGGATGATCAGGGATCCAGTGATGGAGAAATGGAAGAGGGGCTGGACTGGACGCGTGTTAGAGAAATTCAGGACATATGTACACAGCCCACGTCTAGCGACGAGTTTGAGGGGTTCCAAAATACTTGGCAGGCAGGTACATCTTGGCAGGAGTCTGGACAGGATCAACGTTGGCAACGTTGGCGAGGTAATGAGCCAGCAGCTGAAGATAATGATCCAGGTGCAAGTGATGACAGTCAATCCAGCGATAGTGACTGCTAACCTTAATGCCAAAACCAAAGTTACAACAACATCTGTTATAGAACTCCAGTATGCTGATGACAATGTCATCTGTGCGCATACAGAAGAAGATCTACAAGCCACTCTAAACACCTTCGCAGAAGCATGCACGAAGCTCGGCCTGTCACTGAACATCGAGAAAACCAAAGTGCTGTTCCAGCAGTCACCAGCCAACCCTTTTCCAATGCCAGAGATACAGCTTAATGGTGTCACATTAGAAAACGTGGACCATTTCCGCTCCCTTGGCAGCCACCTCTCCAGCAAAGTCAACATCGACGCCGAAATACAACACCGCCTGAGCTCTGCAAGTGCAGCATTTTCCCGAATGAAGCAGAGAGTGTTTGAGGACTGGGACATCCGTAGGGAGACCAAGGTGCTTGTCTATAAAGCTATTGTCCTCCCAACCCTGCTATATGCCTGTGAAACGTGGACTGTCTACAGACGTCACATGCAGCTCCTGGAACGATTCCATCAGCGTTGCTTCCGGAAAATCCTGCAAATGTCCTGGGAAGACAAGTGGACAAACATCAGCGTGCTGGAAGAAGCAAAGACCACCATCACTAAAGCAACGGTCCTCTGCCATCAACTCCGCTGGACTGGCCACGTTGTCCGGATGCCCGACCACCGTCTCCCAAAGCAGTTGCTCGACTCTGAACTTAAGAACGGAAAACGGAATGTGGGTGGGCAGGAAAAGAGATTGAAAGACGGGCTCAAAGCCAACCTTAAAAACTCTGGCATAGACACTGAGAACTGGGAAGCCTTGGCCCTTGACCGCTCCAGCTGGAGGTCAGCTGTGACCAGCAGTGCTGCAGAATTCAAGGAGGCACGAGTGGAGGGTGAAAGAGAGAAACGTGCCAGGAGGAAGGCTTTTCTCCTCCTTTGTTTACCTGCCTGAAGGCCTTTTTGTTTTGCTAATTAGTACTGCAGCTTAAGTGCTGTTAGCCTTGTTAAAGACCCATTAAAGACTCTGTTAACCCCTTATTTGCTGTGTTGGACAACCTTTGGGCTCTGGGTCACGACAGTGTGTGTGTGTGTGTGTGTGCGTGTGCAAAAGGAAAACACTAATGTAAACAAACACATTGATATAAACGCCCAAAAATGAATATGTAAATATACACAGTCATAAACGTATTACTGTAAAGAAACACATTAAAATATGCGCCCTGGACCACGCCTTCTCATTTGCATAGTGCTGCTGATAGGTCCCTAGTTTAGAAATAGGCCCCCTCATTTGCATAGTGTCGCTGATAGGCCCCTTTCAGGCAGGGGGGCCTCCCGGGTTAGAATAGAGCGACTAGGTCACGCCTTCTCATTTGCATAGCACTGCTGATAGGTCCCTGAGTAGGAATGGAGCCCTGGTCCACACCCCTCATTTGCATAGTGCTATTGATAGGCCCCTTTCCAGCAAGGGAGGCCCTCGAGTTAGAAAAGGGACTAGGCCACGCCCCCTCATTTGCATAGTTGTGCTGATAGGCCCATTTCAGGCTGGGGATGCCCCTGACTTGGATTGGAGTGGCTAGGCCACACCCCCTCATTTGCATTATATTACTGATTAGGCCCCTGAGTTCGAATAGAGTGACTGCGCCACGCCCTCTCATTTGCATAGTGCTGCTGATAGGCCTCTTTCAGGCAGGGGAGGCTGCCGAGTTCGAATAGAGTGACTGGGCCACGCCCCCTCATTTGCATGGTGTTACTGATAGGCCCTGAGTTGGAATAGAGTGACTAGACCACACCCCCTCATTTGCATAGTGCCGCTGATAGGCTTCTTTCAGGCAGGGGAGGCTGCTGAGTTCGAATAGAGTGACTGGGCCACGCCCCCTCATTTGCATAGTGCTGCTGATAGGCCCCTGAGTTAGAATAGAGTGAATAGACCACGCCCCTTCATTTGCATAGTGCTGCTGATAGGCCTCTTTCAGGCAGGGGAGGCTGCTGAGTTAGAATAGAGTGACTGGGCCACGCCCCCTCATTTGCATGGTGTTACTGATAGGCCCCTGAGTTGGAATAGAGTGACTAGACCACACCTCCTCATTTGCATAGTGCTGCTGATAGGCCTCTTTCAGGCAGGGGAGGCTGCTGAGTTAGAATAGAGTGACTGGGCCACACCCCCTCATTTGCATGGTATTATTGATAGGACCCTGAATTGGAATAAAGTGACTAGACCACACCCCCTCATTTGCATAGTGCCGCTGATAGGACTCTTTCAGGCGGGGAGGCTGCTGAGTTAGAATAGAGTGACTGGGCCACGCCCCCTCATTTGCATAGTGCTGCTGATAGGCCTCTTTCGGGCAGGAGAGGCCGCTGAGTTAGAAAAGAGTGACTGGGCCACGCCCCCTCATTTCCATAGCACTACTGATAGGCCCTGAGTTGGAATAGAGTGACTAGACCACTCCCCCTCATTTGCATAGTGCCGCTGATAGGCCTCTTTCAGGCGGGGAGGCTGCTGAGTTAGAATAGAGTGACTGGGCCACACCCCCTCATTTGTATGATATTACTGATAGGCCCCTGAGTTGGAATAGAGTGACTAGGCCACGCCCCCTCATTTGCATAGTGTTGCTGATAGGCCCCTGAGTTGGAATAGAGTGACTGGGCCACGCCCCCTCATTTGCATGGTGTTACTGATAGGTTCCTGAGTTGGAATAGTGACTAGGCCACACCCCCTCATTTGCATAGACCCTCCAGTAACCTCTCCCTTTTCCTCCCCTCCAGGTGATCCCTACCTGTGGTGCCACCATGGTGTCGCTGTCGCTGAAGGTGTGCGTCCGGCAGGGCAATGTCGTCAAGACCATGCAGTTTGCGCCCGGCACTGCCGTCTATGATGCCTGCCGCATGGTCCGAGAGAGGGTCCCCGAGGCCCAGTCCGGGCAAGGTACGCGTCCGCATTCTGGGGTTAACCCACTTTAGTGCCACTTGGGGTCGTGTCAGTAACGCTTACTGATGTAGAACGCCTGGAGTGGCATAGGATGCAGCCACAGAATATTCCCACTTTCTTTTCCTGCAGTTGTTTTCTGCTCCATTTTTCCCGTTTTCTTGCAGAAAGGCCTTTTCCGACGGAACAGGTTCCTGAATGTCATGGAGTTGCAGGCATTCGCCTTAAACGGCTTTGCATTAAGCGCTTCATTACCTTCGGTCGCCGCTTTCGTTAATTAGCATTGAGCTATTAAAGTGCCGTGGTTGACGAGAGGGAAGAAAAGAAGAAAAACCCAAGTAACTTCTCCCACGAAGCTTGAGAAACGGAGCGCATTCACTCTGGACAACTAGTGCAAATTATTTATTTATTTGTAGTGTCAGGGCAACCAGTCAATTGTATTACATTTCTAACAACAAAACAAACAAACAGACAAAATACGAAATTTGCAAGTTTGGTAGTGGATTAAATGTCCTTTGACCAGTATCTGGTCACGTGGAGTGCCTCTGGTGTTGCTGCGAGAAGGTCCTCCCTGGTGCATGTGGCAGGGCTCAGGTTGCATTGCAGTAGGTGGTCAGTGGTTTGCTCTTCTCTGCACTCGCATGTCGGGGATTCCACTTTGTGGCCCCATTTCTTGAGGTTGGCTCTGCATCTCGTGGTGCCAGAGTGCAGTCTGTTCAGCACCTTCCAAGTCTGTGTGCCCAGGGGGGAGTCTCTCATTTGGTATCAGCCATTGGTTGAGGTTCTGGGTTTGAGCCTGCCACTTTTGGACTCTCGCTTGTTGGGGTGTTCCAGCGAGTGTCCCTGTAGATCTTAGAAAACGATTTCTTGATTGGCTATTTGTTTGAATTCTTCTTTGGTGATTTCTCCCTTTTTCCACTTCTTGTGCATGCCTCTTTTGTGTCTTAGCACAGTTAGAAGTTCTTTGGACATCCATTCTGGCTTCTTTGCACTTGTCCTATTTTTTCTCTTTGTTGGCACGGTTTGCAATTGCGCCTTGAGTATTTTACTCTTGAGAAATTCCCATCCATCCTTTCACTATTGGCTGCTCCTTCCCGGCGGATGTCAGGTGGTGCAATACCAGCTAAGCAGTGTAATTTCTCCAGTGGTGTAGGGCACAGACCCCCCGTGATAATGCAGCCTGTCTCATTAAGAGCCACATCTACTGTTTTCGTGTGGTGAGATGTGTTCCACATTGGGCATTCATACTCAGCAGCAGAGTAGCATAGCGCAAGGGCAGATGTCTTCACTGTGTCTGGTTGTAATCCCCAGGTTGTGCTTTTGTATGATATTGTTTCTAGCACCCACTTTTTGCTTGATGTTCAGGCAGTGCTTCGTCTAGGTCAGGGCATGGTCCAGAGTGACTCTTCCCAGGTATTTGGGTGTGCTGCAATGCTCCAGTGGGATTCCTTCCCAGGTAATACTCCTCAGAACTCGGGATGCTTGTCTGTTCTTAAGGTGAAAAGCACATGTCTGTGTTTGAGATGGGTTTGGGATCAGCTGGTTTTCCCTGTAATAGGCAGTAATAGCACCGAGAGCTTCAGAGAGCTTCTGTTCAACCATCTCAAAGCTCCCTGCTTGGGCGGTG